TAAACGTGAACACCAGGGAAAATCTTTAAACTATAAAAGTTTAATACAAACGCCAAGCTTTCATCAGCAACTGCTAACATCATCAGGGCTTAAAAAGCCAGTCCATGGGAGAGTCTTTTATAGGTTGATTAAAGTCTGCACCCGGCTCCTGGACCTCGTCATTGGTCCTGATTGAGTAAGCTGTGTTCCAAAAGTAGTTTACTATATATATAGTAAAACTTCAGTTTAATGGCCATTCAGAGGAAAACGTATCCATTAAATATAATTTTGAACATGTATAAAAAGCCCACCCAGGGAGATGTCCAGAATCAGTATTTCTCTGATATATCCCAGGTATATTTAATAGTAATCCATTAAATCAAGATTTTATTTACATTGAATAGGTTCACATAATTAGCTTGTTTCTGATTTAGTATACTGTGTCAGTAATTCAGGGTAAGTGTATTGTGTAAACCAAAACACTAATTAATAACAAAATCAGTTTCCACTGAACATTAGCAATAAAAGTATATAATGTGAAGAGAACAAAATCCAATTTTTAAAATCACCTGAAAACCCTGAAAGTCAAAATATAACAATTAAATCAACATAGTACTATACCTCTTCAGGAAGTCCTAATCTCTTTGCAGGAATCTTGTTAATAATGTCTGTAAACAAAATTTCACCATCTTTGTAGTTTGCAACAGCAGTTTCTGAAAATATAGTTCCCTGCAAAGAAAGGACAGGTTCACCATTAAGATTTTATTATTGTTTTTCACTGCAATAAAAACTCCAATCACTTTTGACATTCACAAACTATAAACTCTAAATATCAGTAATGAAAATAAATGACCTGGATTTATAAACCAACAAGCAAACTGCATTGGAAAGGAAGAATCATATCTTTGTGAGTAAAGTGCTGTTCAACTCAAGATCACTTCTTGGCAACTTCATGGACTTTATGCAATTTTGTTAGCAAGGGGATTGCTGTTGCCTTCTTCCCACACATCCCACATTTAGCTTACAATTTTTGGAATTTCTATTTTTATTAATATAGTACGTGCAGTAATTACATTTATTTAATTACTAAATATAATTACTACATTTGCTATATTTATAAAGCAACACAAAGATATCTGCATGTTTTATAGAAACATCTGAAGAGTAATTTCATCTCTAGTGTTAATATTAAAATACTTCTGTAAACATTCTTCCTCAAATACTGCATCCAGTTTTGGTCACCACGATGTAAAAAAGATGCTGAGACTCTAGAAAGAGTACAGAGAAGAGCAACAAAGATGATTAGGGGACTAGAGGCTAAAACATATGAGGAACGGTTGCTGGATTTGGGTATGTCTAGTTTAACGAAGAGAAGGACGAGGGGGGACATGATAGCAGTGTTCCAATATCTCAGGGGTTGCCACAAAGAAGAGGGAGTCAAGCTATTCTCCAAGGCGCCTGAGGGCAGGACAAGAAGCAACGGATGGAAACTAATCAAGGAGAGAAGCAACCTAGAACTAAGGAGAAACTTCCTGACAGTTAGAACAATTAACCAGTGGAACAACCTGCCTCCAGAAGCGGTGAATGCTCCAACACTGGAAGTTTTTAAGAAGAGACTGGACAGCCATTTGTCCGAAATGGTATAGGGTTACC